TTAAGTACCTACTAGGTACTGATTCGTTCCTCAGTAGGCACTTGGGAGGAGGCTTCACTTTACTTTAGGGTACACAAAAGCAGTAGGTAATACTCAAGTACCTACTAGGTACTGATTCGTTCCTCAGTAGGTACTTGGGAGGAGGCTTCGCTTTACTTTAGGGTACACAAAAGCAGTAGGTAATACTTAAGTACCTACTAGGTACTGATTCGTTCCTCAGTAGGCACTTGGGAGGAGGCTTCACTTTACTTTAGGGTACACAAAAGCAGTAGGTAATACTTAAGTACCTACTAGGTACTGATTCGTTCCTCAGTAGGTACTTGGGAGGAGGCTTCGCTTTTCTTTAGGGTACACAAAAGCAGTAGGTAATACTTAAGTACCTACTAGGTACTGATTCGTTCCTCAGTAGGCACTTGGGAGGAGGCTTCACTTTACTTTAGGGTACACAAAAGCAGTAGGTAATACTCAAGTACCTACTAGGTACTGATTCATTCCTCAGTAGGTACTTGGGAGGAGGCTTCACTTTACTTTAGGGTACACAAAAGCAGTAGGTAATACTTAAGTACCTACTAGGTACTGATTCATTCCTCAGTAGGCACTTGGGAGGAGGCTTCACTTTACTTTAGGGTACACAAAAGCAGTAGGTAATACTCAAGTACCGACTAGGTACTGATTCATTCCTCAGTAGGTACTTGGGAGGAGGCTTCACTTTACTTTAGGGTACACAAAAGCAGTAGGTAATACTTAAGTACCTACTAGGTACTGATTCGTTCCTCAGTAGGCACTTGGGAGGAGGCTTCACTTTACTTTAGGGTACACAAAAGCAGTAGGTAATACTCAAGTACCTACTAGGTACTGATTCATTCCTCAGTGGGTACTTGGGAGGAGGCTTCACTTTACTTTAGGGTACACAAAAGCAGTAGGTAATGCTTATGTACCTAGTAGGTACTGATTCGTTCCTCAGTAGGTACTTGGGAGGAGGCTTCACTTTACTTTAGGGTACACAAAAGCAGTAGGTAATGCTTATGTACCTAGTAGGTACTGATTCGTTCCTCAGTAGGTACTTGGGAGGAGGCTTCACTTTCCATTGTCTCGAGACGGACGGATGCCAATGATGGACGACGAAGTGACAGACGAGTGAACTCAAGATGAAACAGTGATATTAAATCACTGTGACGTTGCAAATTATCTGCATCCTTCATGAGGTTTACAAAAGAGCGTCTACAGGCACTACATTAATCTGGGATTAATTTCTTATTGCTTTCATAAATAACTAGTCCCTGAATAAGACTGCTGGGTGGTTGCCAGTAAGTACTGGCTAACTGCCCACTAATCCCTGAATAAGACTGATGAGCATTTTCACCAGTAACTACTGGTTAACTACCTATTCTTCCATGCTTCACGACTCATTACCCCCTAAGTTGTTCCCTAGTAATGAAGCACAAATAGATAACTACCTATTACGGTCTGAATAAGGCTGCTGGGGTTTTACCAGAAAGTACTGATGAAATAATCTATTAGTCCATGAATAAGACTACTGGGTGTCTACCAGTAAGTACTGGTTAACTACCTATTAGTCCCTGAAAAAAGACTGATGAGTGTTTTCACCAGTAACTACTGGTTAACAACCTATTCTTCCCTGCTTAATTACTCATTACCACCTAAGTCGTTCCCTAGTAACGAAGCACAATTTTGCGTACCTTATTGTAAAGTGTTACCCCTAAACTTTAGCTGGAATTTGAAAAGGGTGGTAGATAAATCAAGCATGACATCATTGTGGTTCCTAGCGCAGAATTTAACTGCCTCGGTTTTGTTGTCATTTAAACGTAGGAAATTAGCTAAAAACTAGATTTTTGTTTTTGAGGACGGTATTGGGTGGTGTGACAGCAATATCAATTTGGCAATCGTCAGAATAGATGTGATAATGCACCTGGAAACGAGCAAATATCAATGTCAGTGGAAGAATGTATATGGTGAAAAGCAAAGGCCCTAGGTTCAAACCCGGAGGAACCCCCCAGAGCAGAGGCAACGATGGGGACGAGTAGTTCTCCATGCAAACTGTAAAGCATTGGTTTCCGAGATATGATCTGAATCAATCAAGTGCAGTCCCGTTATCCCCACCCAAAACTCCAGCCTCGTCACAAGGATGGTCAACTGTATCAAACTCTGCTGATATATCTAAGAGAAGAATAACAGAGTGGCCAGCATCTGTTACTACCAAGATATCATTCAGGGCCAGAACATGCATAGATTCAATATTGTGCTTAAAGCCAGATTGGAAAGGATCTTGGAGATTATTCTCCTCAAGGTGATGAAGAAGTTGTAAGTCAACAACCTTTTCGAGGATTTTTGACAAAAAATAGAAGCTTTCTAAATTCTCAAGATGGAGCCCAGATTTTTTCAATAGTGGATGTACAACAGCATGCTTAAATGAGGTAGGAACTATCCCAGATGATCATAATCACGTTGAGAACAAATGGGCCAACAACAGGGGGAGTTCCAATTAGCACCCTTGGAGAAAGAGGGTCCAATGGAAACCCAGAGGTTTTCATACCTGAAATGATTTTGCTGATGTCCTTTAGTGCAATAGCCCAGAATGAGCATAGTGGTATAATCCCTGAATTTATCTCATGGCTAATCAAACCCATTGAGGTGATGTTAGATTTGATAAGGGTGATCTTGTCAACAAAAAATTTCTGAAACTGAACACACAGGTCTATTGAATGTTGGGTGAGTGGAACATTCCCGTTTAGGAAAGTGTATGAATTTGTTGTTTCTGTCTTTTAATTGGATTTTTAATATACTTTAACTGGACTTATTTAAGATAAGTTTGCTCTTGGCTTGTTTTTTATCTTTGGTGAAATGATCTATTTTCTTGTTCTTTTTACTGTTGTATTTTGTATTTGTATTGTATTTATTTTTCCGTCATAACAAATACATACAAAACACGTGAAAAGGAAATAATTATCTAATAAAGAACATAATAATAATTATCACGGATACAAATTCCTGTTGTAAATTAAACTGTTTCTTTAGATATAATTTATGAACGAAAAGGTATAGGCTGAAGTTAAACTTATTTAAGCCTACCCATTAATTCTTTACAAAAAATCAACATTGTCATAAATATCAAAAGTAAATAAACATGTAAACAATACAGTTTTTACATGCATCATCCTAATTTCAACAAAATCAGTCAAGAGGTATAAACATGAATAAAACAAAATCAATTGAAATCAGTCAAGAGGTATAAACGTGTGACAAAACTAATTTTGGTGCACTTGGTAATTGCGTAAGGCGTTATTTTTAAAACTCCTTTTGAATATTTTCAACGAGCATGAATTTTTTAATCTATCCTCGAGGGGCTATTCCAATAACTCACTCCTCTTACTGAGAGACATCTTTGTTTTTTATTGGTTCTAATATTCTTTTTTTTTTTTTTTTTTTTTTTGAAAATCCCAGTTCCTCTTAGACTATATCCTCCTTCCCTTTGTTCAAACATCCTTTGGAGATATTTGGAGATCCTTTGTCAGTATTTTATCATATTCAGCACCTTTTTATTTTATTTAATCACAACTATATTTTATACTAAACGACTCATAACTCCATTTCTGATATCTGGCATCTCTGACCAAGTTAGTAATTACAAACCAATCCCTATCCCGCCATATCCAAAGTCATTGAAAAATCAGCAGCAGAGCAGGTAATTATTTTCCTGGACATAAAACATGTAACCCATGCGATTGACGCACCTGGAGGGAGCTCCCCAGTTAGTGGACTTTCCCCTTTAAGAGAAATTCTGACCTGCTAATGAGCCAGCTGTTGTTGCTCCAGGTGGAGTGCTGAATCACGCAGTTACTGTTGCTCCAGGGTTTGGTCTTCTCTGCCAGTCTTCAGTGCTTGCTAAAACCTTCAATTCAGCTTATCTGAGGGTGCAGTTGGTTCACTGTTCTGAGAGGAAGAAACTGAACCGTAGGGCTGTCGCGGTTGAGGAATTCCCCCTGCGGTGATTCAGGGTGGCTTAATATTGCGGTGTGCGATATTATTGCAGCACTTTTTTATTGCAGTACTATCTAAACATAATGTTTACACATTTAAAAAAGGTTAAAAATTGCCGTGCCTTCTTTAATAACACTTTACTGAATGCAGATCAAAGGGCAGTAACAACGCAGATCGCAGTAACGCTTGTTTCTCCGACAGTCGGAGTCCGACTGAACTTAAAAACAACAAAATTCAGGAGGTTAAACTTTTAAATGCAAATTTGGCTGCAGCATCTAACAAATAAGAAACAAGTCCCCATTTTGTTTAGTTGTTTAAAATCAAGCATAAAAAATTACATGTACCGGGCGCGCGCGCGCGCGCCGGGGGGCGGGCGCACTATCATTTCACTTTTACACACACGAATGACGGTGATTTATAGCTCGGTCACGTCCTTGTTACCAAGGAAAACCAGCATGTTAACTACGGTTTGAGAGAGGATCTGAGAGGGGTGGCAACATTTGCAGCTACACTGAAAAGCCTCTCGGATGGTGCGCTCGTTGCACTAACACACACGTACTTGCGTGCGACTCTGGCGAGCAAAGGGAATCTCCCGTTTGTTGCTCCACCGTGTCACGGGGGTTTTCTTTAGGGTGGATGCATTCCTCCTGCAGGTAGCGAGTGAGCTCCAGCTCGGCTCAAACTCTCTTTGGGACGGCTGCAGAAGCAGTGCTTGTCCGGGACTTCAGCAGGTCTCCGAGCGTTTGTTTATTTATTTATTTGCCGCTGGTGGCAGCTCTGTCTTGGCCAAGGACTCTGGCTGCGCAGCAGCTGACGTACTGAAAACCAAAGCGCTCCCACAGGAGCGAAGTAACGTTTCGTTTTGATACCAGTGCAGCCATCCTTCTCAACATGCATCATTGAGTTGAACCAAGTTCAGTAATCGCGGTGGCGCATGATGCAGCGCGGTGGGCTTCTTCATATCGCGATATTTCATTTTTGCGGTTACCGCGACAGCCCTACTGAACCGTACCATTTTAAAAGGGTAGCACTTTGCCAAAGTTACAGGAGTGTTGGTAAGCTGCACTTTCATGTTCCTCAGTTACTGATGGAGCCAATTTACTTGTTTTATTTTCTAATGTTATACTTACTGTCACAGATCCTCCATATTTGCCTAACTGAGGCCAAAGTTTGTGTATGTGTTTCTACTCATCGGTGAGTAAACATATTCATTGATCTACACTGATTAGCTGCATGATCCAGTGTTGCTTGGAATATTTTTAGTGTCTTGAGATGTTGGACAGAATGTGGTTTATTGTTTTCACATAATTCCTGTCCAAAGATATTTGACCTAAGCACTTGTTTCCTGTGTGGGGAAGCTCAGCTGAGCAATTAATCAAATTGAGTGAAACAAACATAATTACGTAATTAAGAAAAATGTGAATGTGGACCTCCTGGAATTTCTGTGGAGAACCTGAATGATTTGTGATATTTTGTATATATGTAAATAGTAGAATTGATGATTTCCCTTTCTGGCTTTTGTTTTAGGTCAGGTTTTTGTGTGGATTTCTTTCCCTTTTCCCTTTTACATTCAGTTCATCCCATTCATCGTCTTGAATTTTCCTTGGATGGCGAGCCACCCATGAACCAATTGGAACCCTGGATTGATGTCACAAGGAACAAGCCCTTGTTCATGCAGATGAAGTCTGAAACTCTTCAAGGAACTGATGGACGGTCTATTGGTTATAATGTTTTTTCTAAATGTATCACTGCTTATTTGATGTAAACTACACTGTTAGACTTTACCTATCCACTTTACGGTAATAAACTGGCAACACTGTTGCCAGCATGATACCGTGATGCATGGTTAACGGTAACTTACCACTTAGTGTTGATCCCAGAATTATACCGTATATTATATTTTTGTAAAAAACCCTCTGACTGCATGCCGGTGAGATACTGGCAACACTGTTGCCAGTATCTCACCGGCAACAGTGTTGCCAGTAAAATACCGTAATATATTTCACAAGAAAATTACATCAATAACGCAACATTATACCGTGATTAATAAATATGTGTTGTGCTGTATGTTTATGGTATGTTACCGTAAACTCATTTCAAGGTATGCTGCAATACCTTTTCCAGTGATTTACCGTAAACATACACTTTTGCTACTGAGAATAGTCAACGCTGTCAGAGGTTACTGTGTTTTTGTGGGCAGTAATTTACCTTTTTCATGTCATATTTTACTAAGATACGAGTAAACGGTAACATACTGTAATAAAATAAAAGGCTCCCAAAATAAAAGGTTTATACTTGTGCGTGCACACACACACACCTGCACACTTGTTTGTGTAATAGTTGGATATATTTAAGATCAAGATGTAAACAAAATGCACTGGATTATCTTTTTTTATTTGATTTCTTCCATTAAAACAGAAAAACATACCAATATCCGGTAAAAGTCTCTTCAATAAAATGCTTTGTAGTTTAACATCCAGAACGGTATAGTGAGAAGAAATTGGCAACTGATGGTCATAATGTAAAAAAGAAATGAATCAGTGACCCGTGTGACCTACAGCTGATAAATAGCCAGATGTATACAAAATGTATACAAACCTTTCTTAAATGCAAGTAGTAGTTTACGTATTTGAATTGGTGTAAGAAAATGTTTGAGATCATCTGCCTCTACTAACAGAAGGTCTCTTTTTTGTTGGACACCAATGACATCTTTCAGGTGGTCTGCAAAGGACAGTACTTTCTGTCTCTCCAATTCTGGCAGGATGCATGTGATTTCATCTTCAATTTCCATCACTGAAATATAAGGGGAAAAAATCGTGAAGAAACTGAATGGTGCAGGGAGACAACAAAAAGATCTGCCATGTTATAAAGGGGTATTGGATAATAATCCATCAGACTGTCAGCATTTACACATATTTCTGTCTGTAGGGCAGTGTAGGCAATAAAGTCCAAGGTCAATAAGGCGTACTGACTGATGCAATTCTAGCACAAAGTACAATTTAGAATCATTAACAAGTATCACAACTATCTTCCCAAACTCAGTGCTCTCATCAGTGTAATCTACTACAACAACATGACCTTTGACATATTTGGTACCTTTGTAGACAACTGCTGACACATCTAGCATGTTGTGATTAGAGACATCTGCTTTTGTCACAGCATCCTGAGTGGCAGAGTTGTAAAGATGATGTCTATAATCATTTGCTTCTCCAATTATTTGAATTGTAGGTGGAAATATTTGCCCTGCCAAGAGGTAGGACTGCAGTAGCTGATGCCGTTCAGCCAGAGTCTTGCATAAATTGACAAAGTTATGCACATTTCTTGAACAATGTTTGAAATAAGAGTGCTTGCTCTCAAACCTAAGAGTCCATAAATGAATAAGTGGCCCAAAGTGAAGTATAAGCTCTGGATAATGTGATAGGAAGTCATTTTGTGAAAGTTCCTGAATACTATTGTTTATAGATGCTTCAGGTATATCAAATGCAGAAAGTTTATCAAACAGTTTTCCAAGAACATTGTTCACTCCAGAGCTGTGAAGATCTTAGAATTCCTCTATGATGCACTTTATAGTGCTGGCTGGCAAAAGCATTTTAGCTTGCATTTTTAAATAAAACATTGCCAATTGATTTAGAAATGGCTCTTCATTATTTGTAGCATTCTGTAAATGTCTGTCTTCTAAGGTGTCCTGTCTGTCCTTGTACCATGTTAATGTCACCAATTTCTTGTTGACTTGTCTGTTGAACAGTCTTTGACTGCATGTGTTTCCGAGAAATATGACTAGAGAATGATGTTCAAACACTGAAATATTAAGAGCAACCTTTAAATGGGCATATTACTTTTTTTCCATCTTTAATATGGATCCTCAGATGGGCACAAAGAGTTTTAATATTTTGTCCAACATACCCACATCCAGGAACTTGACAGCTAAGATTTCCAGTGAACTTCCAGATCTCCTCCTCAGTGTTCTCCCCTCGTCTATGATTTCTGTGCATATGGGAATGAAAGGCAGTGAATGTTTTAAAAGTGGCTTTACAATTCTCAAGTCCACAAGAAAACATATAGTTTGCATTGTGTTTATGGCTTCTAACATGTGAACTGAACAATATAAATTTGTGTGCACGGAATCCACAATATTTACAGAGAAACATTTGAAGTACCCTATATCTTCAATAGTTTCTTTTCCAGGGATAGTTTAAGCAATACAACAAAAATGCATAGAAAACTAAACAGTACCTTAACAGTAGGCTAAATTGTCATAAAAGGATCAAATATGCCTAAAATGTAACATCCCCTCAAAAAACGGAAAGTAGTATAGCTTTCACATTGGCCACAAAAAGGAAAATTATTTGACCTCAATATCAGAGTTAAACCTCTCCAACCTGTTCTGCATATCACAGCATGCACTGCCAGCAGCCTTCACCTGCAAACACTTACTGCCAAATTAGCCTTTTTTTTTTTTTTTTTGCTCCTAACTTTATAGAAAACAAATGTCATACACAAGAGAAGTCAAGGAAACAAACTGACTTTGATAACAGTCTCCATTACAGAAAATGTGAAGCAAATCCTTTTACCTTTGAAAAGAAAAAAAGAAAAAGAAAAAATGATCAAGAGCAAAACAATAAGTAGCAGAAACATTTTGGCACAAGCAGTTTTCTTATTCATATCTGAGATGTGCTTGAGTGACTAAAAATATAGGGAAAAGTAATTCAAGAAAATGATAAACAGAGAACTGTTTTTTCAATTACATGAATAAATAAATTATTTACATAGAATATTTACAAAAAGAAAACATCAGATATTTTAGAATCTGGATTGTCCATGAGGTAAAGAACAGCATTAAATATTATATGTTTTAAGTTAAATCTAGCTTTGGCTATCAGTCCATAATACAAGAGAGAGGATTATAAGACACCTTTCGTCAAACATTTTGACAGGTCTATTGTTCTCTGACCTTTCATTCCTATTGTTCATTTGACCCTTGACCTTGCCCCCCCTTCCTATCATTAATCAAATGGACAGGTGTATTGTTCAATCTTTGCCCCCCCTTCCGTATCATTAATCAAATGGACATGTGTATTGTTAATTGTCCAGATGGGCTAGACCCCCCACGCCGCATCATCAATGGCGTATTGTTGAACGTGTCCAGATGGTCTAGACCCCCCACGCCGCATCATCAATGGCGTATTGTTGAGCGTCCATGATATCCCACGTCATAGGCTAATGTGTGTAATGGTGTGTGGTTTCTTTTTTGTGATAGCCCATCGGTTCCCACAGCCCCTCCCTTCTGAGTGTAATCCTATTGTGTTTAACTCTTTAAAAGCTCAGATCTGTCCGAATGGTGAAAAGCCGAGCTCTAAGAAAAAATGATGAACCACGAGGAAGAGGTGCCTACTACATCCGACGCTTCAACTTCAACTCAAAAAGTGAAAGAAGAGAGCGTGGATACGCCGCTGTCAAAAACCATGCTTTGTGAAAAATCCATCGCTATACATCAGATGCCGGCTGGAATTGGTGCCCCCCGCAAATCTACATTTTACATATGCAGAGTGCAGGTTCCTCCTTTCGGCGGTAAAGAGATCTTGGAGCAAATATGGCAGTTGGAACCTTACGGCTATACCGGTAGTTTTGGGTACCGGTTCAGCTACGACACTAAGGAACTGTGTTTAATCCAAGATGTGGCTGAGGGCGAACCTCTTAAATCCTATTTATCAAACTCACCAGCGGTTCTCTCCTACAACGATTGGGCTGTGCTCAGGCTGGCTGTTCCACGCAAGGTGCACAGAGATGATCCTGAGAGACCTCGTCCGCCTGTCAATCGCAGTGGGCCGCAAGCTCTTCCAACGTTGGATGAAATCCAGAACGCTGTGACAGCATTCAGCGCTTCATGGGAGGGGGAAGAGGATGCTGATGGAGAGTGGATGTTCAAGGCCTCGGTCCGTGTGAGAGGATTTGAGCTCTTTTTTGTGCTGGAGAATGTGCATTCTGTATGCGGAATTTACCGCCTTCTACAGGTTGTACCTTTCGAAGCCTGGTGTGAAAAAATAAATGAAGTGGAGGATCGTATTACTTCATTTTTTCGTACCAGCCGCTGTTGGAACGACATTCTGACAGTGCGAAAAAAGCTGGAGTTCTAAGACCTGCCTTAGGAGGAGGAGGAGGAGGTTGCATCATCATACCACGCCCCCCCACCCAGCACTAGTTATAAAGAGCTTACAGTTAGAAACCATTTCATCCAGACGATCTAGGCATCAGCATGACGGGGTTCTACAATCAGACGACCCTTAAAGACCTTTGGAGCCCACCACCGAGCTGGGTACTAACGGATTCATCACCACCGAGATACAACACCAGTCCGAGGTCCAGATCGCTACCATCACCACCACCGCCGAGATACAACGGCAGTCCGAGGCCCGCATCGGCACCATCGTGTTTTCCAGAGGATAACCTACCACGACTCCCCACCATCATGGAGGTTCCGGAGAACGTACCATTCAGGCCCTGGGTCGATGGGGCTGATCCACCTTTGGTGACATCAAACCCTGAGCCGCCGCCAGGTCATGAGGAGGAGGAGGATGTGCAACCCCTCGACATCCAGAGCACCGATGAGGAGCCTCACCGTCTGCCTGACTGGGTGTTTTCAGAAGACAAAGTAGACCGTGTGAAAATGGGTCTTCTTCACTTGGTCAACATGGCGATCAAAGCTCACTTACCAACCATCTGCCACGGATGCAAGATCGATCACCCCAGTCAA